TTGACAATGCAGTCATTTTGACTGCTTTTGGGCAATATAGGTATATACTAAGTTTCAGTCTTTCTAGTGTTAAAAAAGCGATTATTCCAAATCGATTATGTCTAACTTATATTATTATTAAGACAGTTTCGTTTGCTGCATCACATTTCACATTAAAACAAAATTGGAAAAATTATCGTATCCGAATTATTCGTAACATTAACGAGACAGAAAATGCAATTGCGATACGATCGGCGATAATCGAGTAAACGAAGGATAATTGGCTTCTGCCAAAGAAACAAAACGTACTGTGGGATTTAATACGAGAATCAGATGGTTAGTTTATTGATAAATGATCAAGCTGGGCACTTCCGATGCACCAAAATTACATAAATCGCACGGACAACACGTCGCGGTCAATTCTTTGTCGGATTAAGTGTCATACTTTTACGTAGTTGACGAATTATCGGGCGACGTGATTGCCAGTGTTCATAAATTCGATTAAATAAGCGTCTACAAATCGAGTCGATTCTACAGCCTAAATTTGATTAACAATAATATTGTTAATGATAAGCAAGGAATAATTATAAGGGAATATGACAAATAAAATTGTAAATGGATACTAACATTTCTAAGCTTTAAAAATTCTCAAATATAAATGTAAAGAAATGTTGCTGAAAATATAAGAAAATAAGATTCTCCTAATTCTAGAAGATAATAATAAAATATTCCTAATAAGTATTTTCTTTAAACGTTAAATGATATAAATGTGTATTTTCTAAAGTCAAAGTCTGTTTCCAGTGAATCTAAATTAATCGAGGTGCTTATATGGGCAATGTCGGATTCCTTTGTTTCGACGCATCGATCTACGTCGAGCGATAAGAGCCGGGTGTGTAACCCTCGTGATAAGCCGGATAAACGTATCCGTGATACATGCCCGGTACAGGTGACATGAAATTATACGCGTCTTCGGTGTTGTACGTGTATGTGTAAGATTCTGTTGACAGAATTGGGCTCGTCTTACCGGCTCGATTGCTCTGGTCGATCATCGGCTGCACGATTCTACGCCTCGCGTTGATGAACCTGTAACAAACGAAACACGTGTCAAACAAATTGTAATATCGACAATATTTTATGCATAAACTTTAATCTCAATTAATTTATTCTACTGACGAAGCAACATGACAAAAAAATAATTCAAGTTATTATAGTGTACAATTTTAATCATGAGCTAACTTTCCTCGAATGGACAGCTGACAGCGCAAGACGATTTATGTGCGGTACCGGTCAATTTAGGATCACCGGGCGTCCTTAGCAAGAAATCTATTCAGGTAATCAGAGATAACGATGGCCAGCCAGTCAGGTAGCCAGACGTATTCATGACTCATTATGTAGATCAGTGGATCATAGGCAGCGGCGGCATTAGGCGATCGCCGTGATAAGGTCGAAAGCTTGGTCGGAACGCGCGCCGCGTATGTATGCACCTACTACGTCGATGTATCGTTCATCTCAATTTGGCCTGGGCGTAGCGAGCGAGCGGCGTCGATATTTCATCGGGCGTAAGGTCGGTAATTGTCGGACGTAATTTCCGGCCGAATCGTGTATGTTAATTTGACGAAGTGGCCGAGCGAAACGCACGCCCGAAAGAGAACTAACTACAGGTGTATCGAACTTTCCTTCGCTCTCATCGATTCCTTCGCTTGTTCCTCGCGCGAGACTACTTCACTTTTCTGGACAGTAAAATCTGTACTAAGTAACGTACAAACTTTACATTTTATGATCGCAAGAAATAAGTTTCTTGGATACTTCATTTTATCTTGAATGCGCTGATACGTTCGAATACATTTTTCGAGAAGAATGCAAGCTCTGCGACCTATTATCTCATCGCTAACAACGACGAGAACGAGGGGGGAGGGGGTGGTTTGTTGTCGGACTGGCAAGAAGAAGCAGAGAGCCGACATCCTCGATACGTCATTAGCCACGGTGAAGAAGCTTCCGTGCGAGCGCTTTCCAAACAATAGATCTGCGGTCTATTTCGAGATTGGGGGGGGGGGAGAGGTTGAATCGAGAGCGGGGCCAGGCAGACCGCGAAGAGGGAAACGAAGGAAACGAAGGGAGGGAAGGAGGCAGCGAGGAAGACGGGCGAAAGGGCGTACGTCAGCCGACGTCAGCGTCGCGGCGCCCTAATGGGCGCAGACGCCGGAAGTGATTGGGTTTCTGCTCGACTGATTCGAGAGCGCACCCCCTTCTCCTCGCGTCGTTCATGGAGAACCATGCTGTCCCGATGGCAGCTGCAACCCCCGCGTTCGTGTTTCGCGGCGCATCTTTCTTGCCTGGTCTCACGCCTGGCCGAGTATTCCCCTGTATCTTATGAATAATAATTAGACTGTGGATGTTTATGCAAATTCGCGTTTTCATAAATGCAGGTCGAAAAACGAACGGGGATTTACTGCGATTCTCTAAATGCTAATCTTCAACTTTGGATACTCGTGTATTTCTTTGTAATCAGAAAATTATATGAATATTTGATAATGTGAATTTGTCACGTTGCTGATAATGTTGATGACGAGTTAACTCGTGTAAGGTGACTCAGTTGGCCGAAGTACTTTTTGAGAAACGGCAGAGAGTAAGTCAGGAAGTTGGCACAGCCGTTTGAACGAACGACAAGTGGACACGAAGGAGAGATCGCTTGCGAACCGTAGAGAGCGTGCTCAGAATGGAGTCCAGCGGGTGTGTAAACGCGCGGGAGGATCGCAACACCGGCGCCCCTCAAAGTCAAGGCCTCGGCTATCGTTGGATGAAAAGAGTATCCTCGGTTGTATAAACCGAGGGCCCCTTTCCAGCCCTCAAATACTCCTAAACGCCTCTGGTTCCCCTTTGGCGGCGTAGGCAGCGTGTCACAGCCAGCTGACTACCCCGCGCCGCCCTCCCAGCAACCACCCCCGTGGCTGAAATATCGCCCGAACAATGGCGCACAGCCCCTGGCCAAAGGAGGGCAGGGAGAAAGAGAGAAAGGAAAAGCAGTGGCAACTGCCCAACCTCGTCTGTCTCTTCCTTCCTTTGTTCGGCAGTGGGAGGGAAGGGGGGGCTGGAAAACCCCGGGTGGGAAAAATATCTTCACCACCGGAAAACTTAAGTTCGCCACGCATAGAACGGACAGGATGAAATTTTCCAGTCGAGGTAACGTTTGGCAAACGGTCCTGTCATCCCTCGCATAACTGTCAGTACTTTCGCGGGGGTGGTTTCGCGAATCGCGCTCAACTTTTGGTCAGCCAACTAATATTTATTACTATTCCTTCTGATATTACACAAATTTTCAAAGAATCGTATTAATCGTCAATATGTATTCTTTTCATACTTTTCATACACCCTAAAATATTCTAAAAGTATATATTAATATTAATTAACATGAGAATCTTCGTAGAATGAACAGAGGCGTGACGTGAACTTCTTTATGCGGTGACGAGCGAATTTGTTTCGCGGTGCTATGAACATCGGTGGTAACGATGATTACTGTCGCGCTGGCAACATTTACTCTCCGACGCGGCGCAGCGGCGCTCGCAATTATCGGGGAGCTTCCATTAGTTAACTGCAGTCGATACGCGCGGTGCACCGGGCTCCTCGCATCAAAACATCATTACTGCACGGACATGGGTACCGGTGCCGGTGCGGGTACACGGGAACGCGGCAGCGTTCGTATTGGTAATCAATTTCGCCCGGTGTGTACAGAGAACCACGGACTAATGCCACGCGAAACGGCGAGCTTTCGCATTAGCGAGGATCGGACAGCCCTACCCGTGATCATTGCCCATTACAGAATGAATCGGCTCGCGCTGATCGCCCCTCAACGAAAACTTGTACGTGTTATCAAGGATGGTCTGAAATAGTGAAATTTTATGAGCAATCTTTACTCTGTACAATGTTTCTATAGAAGTTTTAACACTTTCATCGTATATGACTGACGTGATTTATATGAATATTAGCAACAGGATTCGAATTCGCGTGTCTCACTGATTGTATAATAAGCATGCGATATGATTGCAAGGGTCGCGAATAAAAAATGCGAATGCACGCTTGAAAGGAGAACGACGAACAAAAATTTAATCGTCGAGTCGTTATGAGAGATAGAGCCATAAAGCAAGCTCCTATATGTCGAATTTTTCTACAATCATCCGAGTCGCGCACCTTTCAGGACAAGTTTGTTGCACCGACGAGGGAGAGTACACGAGCCTAGCGAAGAGGACACGGGTTGTAAATCGAGCCGCTCATAAGCCGGCGGCTGCATTTACGATCGATAAAATCGTATTTATCCGAATATAATGCGCGCTCGATTCGCGCGCCGCACCGTTCCATTCCGTTCCCAACCCTTCCTGTCCCATTCGCCCTACGGACACTTCTCTTTCTTTCTTGTTCCTCGCGTCCTCGTGGTTCCTTCGCTCTTTTTTCGATCGCGATCGCGATTTCATTGTGATGCATCCGAGCGATCGGTTCGCGCCGCGTCGGGACTCCGAATCTTCACCCCTCGCACTGTTTCCGTCCCCTCGACTTCCCCTCGGTGTTCGCGCGATACATAATTCTCGTTCGACAAATTCAATGAGCATTGTAGACCGTGAGCATCCTTCCAGCGTGTAATCGGGTTTCCTGGCGGCGTTGCGGCCGAAATCGCGGCCGCACCGCTTCGCATCGCGTCGCACCCCCGAATTTAGGGGTTGGCCCGCGCGACCAGACCGAAAATTTGTATCCGCGCGCGCGCGCCTCTACGATTTTATCAATACTTTATGATCTGTTTAGCGGCTATTTTCGCCCACGAATATTGAAAAACACACTTCTCTACCCCCTCTTTCATTGCGATACGAGGCGAATCTAATGGACCTGTACAGCTTTTCGTTTCGCTCGGCGAAATTTCGATCGGGAAAATAGTACTCGATTTTGTTTATGATTAGCAAGTGCAGATATGAATGACTGATATTGTTGTGTGATACGAAAATTGGAATTCTAAGAGGATGAGAAAATTCTGTAAAGATTTATTACTATAAAATTATATTCATCGTATTTGTTATTTAACGAAATTATTGAACATGTATTAAAGCATACACGAGGAATATTAAGTTACCACCAAATTTCCTTTAAATACAATTAATTGATATTGGTTGAACGACGCGTATCTAATATAAAAAAAAAAGGAGATCGGTTAATATGAGATTAAACTTCACGCTCGCAAAGCGTCGCCAGCGGTAATTTTGCTTGAGTCAAAATCAATTGCGTTTGAAACAACGCGACAGGGGAATGAAATGAAATAAAAACAAAGCGTCAGTGTGTAGCGCGTAGAGGCAGAGAGCAAATTAGTTTAAAAACAAAAAGCACCAGCGGCCAAGGAATAAAACGGGAGAATAAAACTCGCAGATGGAACGGTTAAAAGGTGGGAATGAAAAAAAAAAAAAAAATGCGCACGGGCCGAATTTCTCGTAGCTCGAGGGGGTAGGTAGTCCGCGCTGGCGTGTTTCACGTTTCCAATTTCCGTTCCCAGCCGCGACTATAAGCGCGCAACTATGCGCCGCGCCGCGCGATCGCCGCCCTGCGCGGCGTATCGGATACGCGCGTAGACAGGTTATGTGTGTCAACAAAGCGATTTAACACGCGACGTGTCACTGATAGCTCGCGCGCTCGTTGCCACCGCACCACCCGCGCCGCGCTACGCCGCCGTGGCATTGCAGCCGCGTCGCGTCGCATCGACGTGTGCAGCCTCGGCTGCGTTTAATCTATGGCCGTGGCGCAATGGTTTTTCCGAAAATTCCGACCTCCGATCCACCCCCGCGGCCCCCGCTCCTTCCCGTTCCCCTTGGCCCCGCGGCCGTCCGGTTACCGCTCAACGCCCCTTCGGCCAACCTCGCGACGCTGGAATTTATATAATTGTTTTGCCGGGGTCGCCACTAAATCGTGTTCCGAAGCGCGATAGCGCCGGCGCGTCGTTTCGCGCTGATGTTGATGTTGATGGGCGGTTCGACGATCCCGCCAATAAAAGTACCAGGGAAAATTGTTCGACGTCCGACGCGATTTTCGGCGCTCTTTCCCCACGACTTCAA